ATTTTGTATTGGACCCGATTTTTTTCGCAGTATTCAAGACATTAATCTACAAAATTATTTGAATATAAAAATAAGGACTCGAACATGCTCTACCCATAAATGTGGTGTTACAAAAAAAGGCTTTTTACACAAAAACACGAGGAAAAAACAATGAAAAAGATGGAAAACTGGCATAAACGAAAAAGAAAAACTCTTTTTACATTTTTGAGAAACATATATTGTTACAATATTTCGGTTTTGAGCTATTTTACAGTGTTACTACACCGAAAAAGTAGGACAATTGGGAGTTCCCTGAAAGCTCAATAAATACTATAAAAATGTGGTCTTTTAAAAAGAACTTTGAACTATTGGGAACAAATGATGATGTCTCGAGATGATTTGAACGTCGCACTTCCACCAAAGACTCTACCAGTCCTTTCTCGCTGTGTCTCACAATTTATTGAAAGAAAACCATTTGATTTTGAAGGAGATATGGAGGTTGATGATGAAATTATCTCTATTCTGACGCACACCCCATGTTCTCACCTTGTCCAATGCGTGGAGGATGATGTCCTTGACGTTGACACCGACACAACTGCTATGATTTTCAAAGAGAAGCCAGTAATCCAAAACTCAAAAAACCCATGCCCACCCAAAGCCATCAGTGCTTTTAAAAAAATCAACTGCTTTAATTAAATGTATGTAGCTTATTGTTGTAACTCACGAACGTAATAATATTGTTATTTAAATGAAAGATCGTTCTAATCTTTGACTGAGAAACTCCCAAATGGCAATACTATATATTTTATAAAAAAGGTCTTCACTTCCATACAAAAACAAGAAATTTTATATTATTAGAGCTTATCTCAAATCAATTAATTATGTAAATAATAAAAAAAATGAAAACAATTTTGAATAAGATGATAGTGTAAAAGCACCTTTCTTTAACAAATTAATTTATGGTTAATCACATTCTATAATAAATTGAAATGTTTGATTGTGGATATTAGAGTAACCAAATTCTTTTTTATTGTATTTGTTTAAATTGACCAATTAGAAAACTTGTTTGTAGCGTGTTTAAATAACAAAGATTCTATTTCAGTAAAATGAAGAAATTGAATTTTATACAATAATAGAATATCACAATATGTCTTTTGAAATGTATATCTAGTTGATTGCATTATTGAATTTTTATAACCATTTGATTATATTAAAGTATTATTATAAGAGTTATTTACTTAATTAACAACTATATTAAAGAAAATGCTTATGTTCATCTTTTAAGAAAATAACCGATAATTTTATTGTAAGACAAACCTAACATCATCACATTTTTAACCGTATTTCACTTGTTAGTTGAGCTAATACAGTGTATTGAAGTTGATTAGGACTTAGATTGTATATCAACTTCCTTTTGCTTAATTTGGTTCTTTTTTATAGTAAAAAACAAATATAATATATAATGCGATTTTAACTTCCAGTTCCTACCAATTTTAAACAGCAGCCACCAAAAATTATATTGATTTCAAATTGTTTTTGTATAAAATCGCAACATTCTATTGAACAATGATGTTACAACTTTACAGACAACACTGTCTTTTACTTTAAAAAATAAATATTTGGTATTAAACAATATAATTTTGCTTTGAACTTGACAATACAAAAGTCTACCAGTTTTACTCATACTTGAACAAAAAAAAATATTCAAAATTATCTCAAGAACTCGGTGATCGCGGTGAGTATGAGAGCTGGGTCGATCATGTTGAACATGGTTTTTACCCAATTGATTCCCATCCCTTTCACATTTATCATAAACCCAACAACAAAACCATCTTGGTAGCAAAACCCAATTTTAATCCCGAAGAAAGTAAAGACTGTCATTCCAACATTACCACTTTCAACTGTAATGGAACCACTTCTCTTCCACCCTCCATCAACAGAAGCACTTCCATTGAAACAGCCAGAAACAACCCCATTCTCTATCTTACAAACAACTTCTTCTCCTGAGGTACATACACCTTGTGACACTTCAACATCACCAGAGAATATCCCATTGATAACATACCCGTTTTTTATTGATGCTATTCGAGGCTTCACTGCCCACCCAATTAGTCCATACCCCCCAAGTCCAATAAAGTCGAAAATCGAAAGTGTCCCACACACAACACCTTCAATAATCGACTCAACACTAATTAAAAGACACGTCACTCCTCCAAAAGTCGGAGGAATGTATGGCAAACTCGCACCAACCATAACACTACGAAGACTGTTTGGAATGTTCCGCGCAACCCCAACACCAATAACACTTTTATACGGAGAAACTATGGAAACTTGAATTTTCTTGTTGGTGTGTTCGATGTCGTATTTCTGTCGAGACGCCTCGTCTTTGAGAAGGGTGTAAGCACGTGTAATGTCGTAGTACATCGTGTCTTTTGGGTGGTTATCAGGGTGGTGTTGTACCGTCAGCTCTTGGAACCTCCTCTTTATATCTGCATTGGTCGCATTTCTTGTCACCCCCAAGACGCTGTATGCATCGCTTTGACGGACTGGTATCCAGTTCCGCTGTCCACTTAGCATTAATTGTTATTCTAGTGACAAGTGTTAATTCATAGTTTATAAACTATATTGTCTTTTAAATAAATAAATTAGTTATAATAATTAGAATGTGTAATAATACCAATAACTAATCATTATTGTAATTTTTTTGATAAAAATGTTCATATAATATATATAATAATAATGTAAAAAACGACA